GGGGGGGGGGGGGGGGGGGGGGGAGAGTGTTAATGAAGTTCTGGATATGGCGGGAAACTCTAAAGCTTAAACAACTACACATGTGTTTTGTAGGGAAAATGGTGCATTGCCCTCCTATGATCGATACCTTGTTATGCCCCTAATGTTAGCAACACCAAGTTAACAAAAAGTTAACCTTTTTTTACACTTTTTTCCTGTCTAGAAATCTTTAACTTCCTTCCACTGGTTTAATGACGGCAAACAGTTTATATGCTCCCACACTGATGGAACACTGAGTATTTGGAATATTAAGGGAAACTCAACTGATACGTTATGTCCAAATGGTATGTCATCCTTACCAACTTTGAACAATGATAGTCCTCTTTACCTTGACCCCCCCCCTACCACTTGAAATTTCCAAATTCCTCTGTGGTGGTGGTGGGGGGATTTTAGTAAGTTTAATTGATGTTATTAAAGCCACATATGCTCAGTGATGTCAGTGACATGCTTAGTATACATTTAAGTCTGTTTGTATCATTAATTGTCTTTTTATCCCACCAATATCAATGATCTTTCAATAGAGAACAGGACATTAAATCCACTAGCAATGCCTTGCTAGTAAGTTTTGTTCCCACTGGCAAAAATTTCAAAAAAGTCACTAGCGATCAATCACAGCTACTGTATATGTAATAAGCAATTATTGGACGAGGTTGAGCATAGTATCGTAAATTATAGTAATAATTTACGATATTATGCGATAACCAAATTCAATAATTGCTTTATTTTACATTTTGTATACTGGAAAAAAATTAACATGAACAATAAATTAAAGAGACAATAATTATAAATGCCATGATGTCACGGGAAAAATGCAAAATTCTTAAGTCAGGAATATTTCAAGAATTCTTCATAAAATACATGAAAATAAGTTAAGGATTTCTTAAATAATCGTTTTTGTACATAATTCTGGAAATAGATACACATAATGAATAATTACGACTCAAAACCATGAGAATTGAAGTTCTCACTGTGAGGCCTCGTCCACACTATGCCAGATAAATTTGAATCCAAATTTTTATTTACAGTTGTATTCGGTTAGGCCTTCCGTCYACACTAGTCAGTCCAGAACAATTCTTCACCGAAAACGAATTTTTTCAAATACGATCTCCAGAGTAGAACAATTTGAAAACACTGGCTAGCCGTATTAGTGTGGACGGAGAACATTTCGTACCCGAAATTTTCTGAATACTATGCRCCATGATTGTCATGGGAACATGGAGGGAAGGCTAAAAATTCACCGCGGGCTCAATTTCAGCTTTGATGCACATGCTCAGATGTGCAATGAAGGGTTTTTGCCACCTCTGATCGGACTAGTGTGGATGCGAAACATTGTATCCGTTTTYATGCGTGGACAGAAAACTTTTTTTTCGGTTTCGGTGTGAAAGTTGCGGGTTCAAATTTTTCCAGCATAGTGTGGACAGAGCCTAAGACTGCAAGATGATAATACCTAAAACCATGAGTCTTACATAGTGAAACCATGTGTTTCAGGTGTGACTTTAAGTGAACACATTTTGTTTGCTCATGTTAGCAGGTAAGACCAGCAAAGAAACAAGACCGTGCGCACCTATTACTAAAGTACAATGGTTATCACCATCATCTGGGTAAGACAAATGTTTGCATCTTTTAAACTATTGCTTCAGGTGTAGGGGACCCAGGCTTTATTTTTTGGAGAGGTACACCATTTATAACAGGGGAATATCCAGGAATTTTAGAAGGGGGGTGACTTACAAAGGTTTTACCAGGAATTCAAGGAAAAGGGGGTGACTGTTACTTTCAATATACTGAGAAATTGAAGCAAAAGGGGGGTGACTAGTCACCTATATTACCACCCCTGGATCCACCCCTGTTATAAGCAGGTGACATAAATTTGATACAACGTTTTATGAAATTAATTTTAAGATATTGAACATGGCTTATTCKCCATAAAAAGGTCATCAGCTCATCTAGGGGGAACATGTGCACACCCCTCTCCTAGACCCGCCCAAAAGCTTACCTTTGATCATGTTTGCCTTTCCTATGTTAGTATCCATTGATATTGTATTTGATGTCCCAGGGAACCACTTATCTTATTTTCTGGAGGAACTACRAAGGGAAAACGGAAAGGATTAACGTTGTGCCAAGGCAAGACAACTAAGCTGCTTTCCCCAGATATTATTCTAGATTTTACTACTATTTTATCAAGTCCATGGAAAGAAGGTAGGTAATACATACACTTTTGGGCTTCCTGTGCTACATAAAAGACAGGTATCCCAGTCATAACATTTTATTAGGTTCAATTTGTTACCATTTTGTACCTTGTATCTCAGCACTGAAATTTCATTCATCCATGTGGAGTTCCTGTATATCCATATGCCAGGAAATTCTAAAGATGAAATTCTTTAATATATGTGTGTAAAATGTGTAGTTCCATAGATTATCCACAGTACCAGGCTCCCTACATAGGAAGTGTGGGAGGGTCAGAAAAAGAACAAAATTACAGAGATTGTATGGAAGAAAATTGAAATTTCCGGGGGTAGGGGATAGTGGGGAGCCTTAAAACAATTGCTCTGTGAGGGGGATATGAATAATTTCTGAAACTACACAATATTATAATTATCTYTTTATTAGGTCAGCATTACTTCTCATTTGACTGCATTATCATTTTTTATATTTTGGTATTTTCAATTCTAGATGCCCAAATTCCAAGAGCTGTCATAGCTGTAACAACATCTCGCCTCTTAGTATATGACTTAATGACATCCTTAGCAAAGTAAGTGACTTTGAGTTCACTTTGTGTTCATGGGTATCATTTATACTATACTGGCCGTACTCCTTTGCGTTTTGAATTTTGATTTCTCACATCAATGACTCATCAGTTGGATATTACAGTCATTTCTCAGTATGATATAGAACTTACCATTGGGATAAACTAGGTTTGTTTTAATGGATGTCAATCAAGGTGTTTGCATGGGCATGTGCAAGGGTGTAGTTAAGGGGACAAAGGTGGCCCCCCCCCCCCCCCCCCAAATAAGTTGTTTTGACAAAAACCATAAAAAGCCGTAAACATTGTTTTTCCTTTTCATGCAACTTGATAAGTCTAATTTTTTTCTCAGCATCATTTGACAGTTTTTCTTTTGATATAGAGTGCATATAATATACCTGTGAAATAGATAGCTAGCTAACTAATTACTAACTTTGTGCTATTGATTGCCTAAGTCTAATTAGTTAAAGAAATAGGCGAGCCGTGATGGGTAAACTAGTGCACGTGTGCTACTCAAGGGCACGCATTTTAAAATATTTTTAAACACACTTACAAAAACTGAAGCAATATTTTATTGTACATGCTTTTCCTTCGTATAATCTTACATGTTTGCATTTTCGTATCTATTCATTTGTGTATTGAGTTGTTACTCTAGTAAACGCCCGTGTCCTTGTCATGCCTCACTGAATTCCTATGTGTTGTCTAATTAAGTGTTAACTATCTCCTATTTCATCCTAACTATTTCATGGTTATATTATTTGCACTCTAACTACAACTAAGTTACTTTTTTGCACCTCACATCTGGCACCAAAATATCCTGTGTGTGTGTTGGTGAGAAAATAATACATTGCCTCCGTCCTGTGGCTATGACTTCGCTTCACCCCTGGATACTGCCCTTGAAAGCTTTGTGTTGTCATAAAAGTAAACAATATTGATTTACATCCACCATAACTACAAGTTGTCATGTACCTTATTGCTATAATAGTACTTATTGATGTTTTTCATTTAGGCCTCTAGCCTATGATGTACCCTATACATTTGAGATACACGAGTCTCCTGTCACATGTACGCAGTACTTCTCAGATTGTCCACCTGACCTCATAGCTGATCTTGGATCGCTGGCAAGCAGATTAAAGAAGAGAAACTTAACCAGAGAAGCCAGCAGACAGGTATGACATTGTAATTTGTGTGAGAAAGATAAAAGCTGTATACTGTATGAGTGATATCAAGGGTGGTGTAGTGCTAGCAAACTTGATTCGTTTTTCTGCATTAGAAACGTCGACCTATTTTTTTGTCCCCCAGAACAATTCCTATAGGATATTAATGCAAGGGGTCTATAAAAGTGTAAGAGTCATTGGAAGACTGATAACATTGAAAATTACAAGACTCAACTCAAATATACGACACGCTTTGGTGGTCATTAACAAGAAGTATCCGAATAGAATATAGTACACGAAATACCACCTTAGTTCGAATAATCAATGATATTAAATACTATGCGTATTGTATAAGAATGAAGCTGTAATGTTACAGTATTTAGCTACTTYCATTAATCGCTAATAATTAATCGTGTCCTGACCTGGTGAGATCAGCCCAGAGGTTGTTTCAGTGCTCGATCTGTGAGTTTATTAGCCTTGCCCTGACTTAGATCAGTCCAGAGGTTGCTTCAGAGTTCAATCAGTTAGTTAGCCATGCCCTGACTTAGATCAGCAAAGAGGTTGTTTCAGGGTTTGATCTGTGAGTCAGCCATACCCTGACTTAGATCAGCCCAGAGGTTGTTTCAGGGTTTGATCCATGAATCAGCCATACCCTGACTTAGATCAGTCAGAGGTTGTTTCAGGGTTCAATCAGTGAGTTAGCTGTGCCCTGACTTGTTTAGATCACCCTCAACCCAGAAAGGTTTCAGAGTTCTATCTGTGAAGTAGCTATATTGTGTAGTTCCAGAAATTATCCTTATCAAACTCATGAATAATTCATGAGGAAAACACAACAGAAATCACGACCGTGAAGAGTGTTGTGAATCTGATACAAACCTGTGTTCATTTGCATAAACTTTAAGTTGGATTTTCTTGGCCAAATTCACTTTAATTTTGAAAATTTTAGTGAAACACAAAGGAACTAACCTAGACGTTTGATAAGTAATATACAATATTCATGTCCGTGTTGTATCAGATATACAATCACTCGGCTACCCCTCGTGGTTGTATATCTGATACAACACGGCCACTCATACTGTATATATTACATACCCCACCCGCAGAGGAGTTTGGAATTTGCAAGGGGTGCGGGGGTCAGGGGGGTCAGAGAAAGAACAAAATTACAGAGTTTGTATGGAAGAAAATTTGAATTTTCAGGAAGGCAGTTTAAAAAAATTCCTCTCTCTTTAGGGGGGGGGGTATGGATATATTCTGGAGCTACACATTCATTCTATGAGTTAGCTGTGCCCTGTTTAAGATTAGTAGATGTTGTTTCAGGCTTTGATATTTTGTTTGTTYGTTTGATTATTTATGGTGTTTTGTAGGCATGGCCAATCTTGGGTGGAGTCAGTGGAGAACAGCCCGAGAAACCACCATCAGAACTCATTATTACAGGGTAAGTGCACTGAATATAGAGTAAAGGTATCTATTATATATAAGAAAATATAGGGTAAGTGCACTGAATATAGAGTAAAGGTATCTATTATATATAAGAAAATATAGGGTACTTGCACTGAATATAGGGTAAAGATAGATATTCTATATAAGAGAATGCTAGAGACATGCTGCTGTGCATGCTGTAATTGATGATGATGATGATGATGATAATGGCATGAATCATACTACGTCATAGCATTGGCATTCCTTTCTGATTGCTGGACTATCTAGTCTAGTTTTATTAGTCAGTTGGTAAAATTTGAGCAACAGAGCTCTAGATAATATGTACCCTTGATAAAGTGTGGGCTTACCAAAAATAGACCAGGCAAATCTTCAGTCACCAGTGTTGTTGGTGCTGATTATCTTCTCTTTTTTGTATTCATATTAGTCATGCTGATGGAACAGTCAAATTCTGGGACTCTTCATCAGGTATGTCAAGGAATATAAATATTACAATTGTAAAATAACTGGCAGAATAACTTCTGATTGGTTGGTGGTACATGTTTTGTGAGAGCACACAGCACTCCTGTGCACTTTCTATCTTGTCATTCATATCTAAATTAACAAGTATCCGTAAACTTGTCCAGCTTTACGTCGAATCATGCATCTTCTAACACTTCCTTTGACTTATAATCTGCATGCTATATAACTACACACAGCATGCACACAAGTTTTTTATCTCTTCATTTTCCCACTTGCCTGCCAGTAAAATTCTCTTGCAATGTACTATTATGTACTGTTTAATAAACGAGCAGGAGTGTTTTATCGGGTATAAAACACGATGCGTAGCCAAGTGGTTTTAGACCCGATAAAACACGATCTGCGAGTTTATTAAACGGCTTAAAAAACTCCTGATGTATGTTCTCATACTGTACCGAATTCTTTACGAAATGAACCAAGTTTGATAGAGAAAATCCAAGTTAAAGTTTATGCAAATGAAGATGAATCTATATCAGACATAAAACCTCCTTCATGGTCATGATTTCTATTGTGTTTTCTTCATGAATTATTAATGATTTTTTTAAGTACTGTATAAACACAATATGTATATTTTGAATTGGAAGGATCTTATTATTATTCCTACTTACCTACATCTTTTTATTCCTACTTAMCTGCTAGTAAAGTTCTTAATTGCAGTGTACCATTATGTACTGTACATTTTGAAGGATGTTATTTATATTCTACTTGTAGCTACTTTTCCTCTCCCTAAACATCAATCATTATTAATTATGGAAATACTAAAATTAGCTTTGAAATATTTATATTTTCTCATTGTAGTTTTTATATTTAAAGATGGAAATATTGAAAATGCTGCTATATTTTCTAGCATGTGAATAATATACTTTGAATGATTTCAGCTTCATTAATCTTGTTGTACAAGATGTCCACTGTAAAACTTTTTGAGAAAGAAAAAGGAAAGTCATCAGAAGAAAGCAGTGACAGTAGCGAGAGAAAACCCAGTACATCAGAAGGTTCAGAGAGTGGAGAGCGCTCATCACAGGACGAAGACCCAGAAGCATATTCTATTCAGATGATTCATCTTTGTGAGCACAGTAGAATACTTCTTGTCGCTGGTGCTGCGCACGTGCTTGTGATGTCTTTTAGTATGAATGAAAAACCTGTAGAGTTTGTGGTAAGTGTGAAGAAATAATGAGCTTATTATCATGAAATCCCAAAACTTGCCAGACAGAAGAATAATTACCGTAGCTGGAAAGAACATTTAAAAGTTAGTTAAACTGTGAAGTTTGAAGGATGTTAGCTCAAAAAATGCAATGGTGTAAATTTTCAAAACCAAAACATTTGTTGAAGGTATCTCTTGCCTCTAGCAAAGGTTTTCTTACAAAATTCACACTTTTCAAAAATCATATCTTCACACTAGTGTTGCACTTATTCTCATCAAACTTCAGAGTTTTACAGATTTTAACATGCTCTTCTCATACTCATGAATATTTAAATATGAGGAGAAAACAAAAGAAATCCCTACTGTGACGGTAGTTTGGAAATGTGTTCTTAATTTGCATTAAATTTCGTAAACTTTTTCTTTGATTTTCTCCAATAAATATTCATTAGTTTGAGAAGTAATTTCAAACACTTGAGAGAGTTCTTCCTCYGATTTCCAAACACCTCAAAGTCAGTTAAAAAAACTTGGCTGCGCCTCGTTTTTTCAACTCACTTTTTGGTGTTTGGAAATCGGAGGAAGAACTCTCTCGTGTGTTTGAAATATTACTTTCCAGCTATGGTAATTAATTTTCTGTTTAATCACTAATTGAAAAAACCATGATAAAAGCTAATTTTAATATTATTCTTTTGGTTTATCAAATTGGGTTACATTGATAAACCAAAATAATAATTAAAATCAGCTTTTATCAGGGTTTTTGTCAACAGTTGCCTAACAAGGAGTACTATTTTTTTTCTCTACTGTTTTTGTCCTTTTTTTCTATATTGTTGTTTCTTTCCTTTAATGGACCTATCCCAAATTTGCTTAAATGACCATGAAACAATGGTTTGAAGTCGAGACTGAACTTGATTCTTTTATTCATCAAGTTCAACCTCGACTTGAAACCATTGTTTCGTGACCAGTCAAGCGAATTTGGGATAGGTCTATTGTGTAGTTCCAGGAATCATCCATACCCACCCCACAGAGGAATTTGGAATTTCTGAAGAGTAGGGGGGTCAGAGAAAAAACAAAAATTACAGAAGTGTATGGAAGAAAATTGGAATTTCTGGAGGGTAGGGGGTGTCTTAAAAAAATTCCTCCGTGAGGGGGGCATGGATAATCTTTCAGTCTTTGATATCATTCAACTGTGGGAAATGTAGGAACTTTCTGGGATTATTTTCTGAAAATGTTTTGTTTTTGTTCCAGCAAATAGATTTGAATCTGACATTTGAATCATCACATGAACAACCCTTGTCCCCTGAACCTGAGAACGCCTTCATGCAACCAGGCGACAGAGGCTCAACATCAAGCCCTGAGATACCCTCTCACACCCAGCAGCCTATTCCATTACCAAGTGTGTCATGTAAGACAGGCATGTTTAAACGGCATCCAGGATTCCAGGCAGAGCTTGCTTGTGTTATTTCAAACAGCCATGATGGATGGCCAGTCAGTAATATCTCTCTCAGTTCACAGCTTGGCATGTAAGTCTGAAATGTCTAAACCTATTGAATAAGTTTGAACACACAGGTCCTTGCAGTGTTGCTGGTAAATGTTTTTCAAGGAATTCCATAGGCAATGATTTCCTTCAACGATTGTAAAAAATAATATTTTTCAGCTTGGGCATACTTGTAATTCTTTCCTATTTCAGACCACATCATTCGCTTGGGAATAAGATTCTTAATTGTTTGAGTTGAATCATATTCATGTCTTTTCTCATGTACAACTGCAGTGTTCTTACCAGGCCGCGTCATTGCGGGAATTGTAGAAAAATGGGGGGGATGCACAATTTTTGGAAGAAGCTACAAGCCTTACTTAGGGGGGATCGTATATTTTTGCATGACTTTAAAGGGGGTGCTCAGAATTATTYTGGACATTTCAAATTTTCACCTGCTCATCCCCCTCTGCCATACATTATGAACACAACCTTACATTGCTCTTGATTTGCAACAGCATTACTGGCAAAAAACATTATTATTTTTTGTTTTAAGATTTTGGAAATGGCCCATCTAGTTTTCTAAATGGCCCCTAAATTTTGGATTGGTGGACCCTTTGACCCCCTGAAAGAAATTCCTGGTCAGAACACTACAACTGTTGAACAAAGAAATGATACCTATAAAAGAGGTCTAAGAAAGACTACTCAATTCCAGCTTTTCAAGAACTGGAAAAATATTTTACAGGATGTGTTCACCTTATAAAACTTGTTTTGCATAGCACTACAGAAGACAGATCTCAATCCTATACTCTTGGACCTGCACCTTGTAACAGACACCTTAGATCAGACACAATCTTGCATTGAAATTTTTATCACTTGATACATTGAGGTGAATAAAACACACATTTGTGATCTCCCAAGGAGTAAACAATTAGAAAATATATTCAAATAAAGAAATAAAAAACACGAATTAGAAAATATATGGTTAAATAAAAATATGAAAAAAACATACACAGTTGTGTTATGTGAGTATGACGTCCTTCATGCTGATAATTATGTTTCTATTGCTGTTTCAGAATATCRATCTGTAGTGGGCCATCTCTTGCCTTGGTTGATATAGTCCAGAAGAAGCTTATCACCACACTTTCAGCACATGAAATGACTTGTAAGTATTGTTTTTGCTGTATTTTTGTCAAAATTATGAAACAAAATAGTATTTATTATTGATTTAGCATAACTTTATTATAACTTCCTCTTTTACTCCGACGAAGGACTAGCTTCCGAAACGTCATCTTTTCACAGTGTAAAATTTACCTTTTTATCATTGTGTAGTTCCAAAAATTATCCATACCCCCCTCACGGAGGAATTTTTTAAGACACCCCCCTACCTGTCCCTTTTCTTTTGTTTTTGTTTCATTCTTTTTCTACAATTCTTTTCTGTATTAATTAAGCTATGTTAATTTTGTTTTTCTCAAATTGCTACYGCCTCAAATAGTTTTTTATGCTAACTGTGGTTAAGCAATTATAATTGTAACATAATTATTGAAATGAGAATAAAGTTGTCGCTGTTGTTGTACCCCCCTGGAAATTCCAATTTCCTTCCATACAAACTCTGTAACTTTTGTTCTTTCTCTGACCCCCCTACTCTTCGGAAATTCCAAATTCCTCTGTGGGGTGGGTATGGATGATTTCTGGAACCACACTGACGCAGCTCACACTAGTTTTTAGCTAGATATCTCTTCTTATAACTTTATTAAGCAATTTGAACTCTTTTTAGCTTTGGCAGAGAGCCCATCAAATGCACCTCCCACCACCCCTATGTCAGCCATACCCATGACACCCGGCACTCCTGGAACACCTATCTCCCTCACACTTAACCTAGAAGCAGGAGGAGGTTTAGACTTTTCCGAGGCAACTGTCAATAAACTTGAAAAGAAAAGAAACAAACCACCTCGCCCTGCACCACCTATGGTAAGAAGTAAGTCACAGGCCAAGTCAGGTGACCCACCTAATGGTGCTGAATCTTCTGAAGGAGGAGCTGGTAGTAGACAGAGGGCAAGTTATCCATCTAGTGGAGATGGTGGTCCACCAGACACCGTCCAGTGTACTAAGTTTGCATATACTTACACCAAGAAAAATGGTAAATATTGCCTTTTACATTAGGTCTGCATGTTGCAAATGTTGCAATGGCTATACTCCCTCCCTGACATGCACTTATAAGTGCACATGTGTGATGGCTCATTTACATATTTTGTCTGTCTGTCTGTAAGTTTATCATCAGTTCTTATCTGTCTGCATTCTCATCCCACCACCTGTGTTTTTGTGGGTCTACTGTGCTATATTTCTTCTGTCTGTCTGTCTACTAGCCACCTGTCACCTGTCCATCTGTTCTCATCTGTCTATCATTGCACTCCCACCGCACCACCAGTGTATTTGTGAGTCCACTGTGCTGTATCAAGGGCGGATCCAGGGGGGCAAAGGGAGACTGAAGCTCCCCCTCAGCAGAAAACAAAATAAAACAAAACTGAAGAATTAGATGCTTTTTTTTGTTGTTTTCCGTTGGGTTGACGGAAGAAACTCAATTAGCCCCCCCCCCTAAAATTTTGGCTGGATCTGCCCTTGTGTCTGTCTGTCTTTCTACTGCCCACCTGTTAACTGTCTGTCTGTCATTAGATTACTGTCTTATGTTCCTATTATTGATCCTAGATAACTGGATCAGTCCTTGCCTGTTTGTTGGTACAGCAAAGGGTAATACATTTATTGTAGTTATCAACATGCCATCAGCTGAAGAACGCCTTAAACAACCAATACTAACGATTATTACAGGTTAGTAGCAAACACAATATCTATCAGGTGATATACTAAAAGAAAACAAAATGGAAAAATGGAAATGGAATGTTTTTTCTTTTTCCCATGTTTTCCCTTCCATATCTTGGTTCTGCTCTTTCTATTTTTCTTTTTATAATAATTTTTAAATTTCTCGCACGGATTGGTTATTTTTTATAATGAATAAGAGGACAGGGCCCGGTTGTACGAAGCCTGGATAGTGCTATTCAGAGGATAAATCTTTGTACAGTGGATAAGTTGATGCTATTATCCAATAAATTTTTCCACTSGATAAGATTTATCCATTGGATAGCRCTATCCAGGCTTCTTACAACCGGGCCCAGACAGATAAAGCTGACATCAACAAGTGCACACTCTTTCTGTTGGTTGTTTTGATCACTAAAATGAGAAGTTTTTATCGTTTTTGTATGTTTCTTTCCATTGCTGCTATTCTCACTCAACCAAGCCTAAAGCACAGGCCATATCTTAGAGCACTTTCCGTTAGGTTGAACTGCTTGTGTGAGTAGCCAGTTCTTAGATAGYATGCATGAGTTATTAAAACTGGTTCGAGCTGCATTGTTCCAGTTCTATGAGCTAACATGTATCATTTGAAAACTGGTCAATTGGAGCAACCAGGTCAACTTAATGGAGAGCTCCTTTAGCCATCATGTAGGTTGATGTTATTCAAGGCTTCTTACATGGCTTCTTTTGTTATGTCGACCAATGTACAAGGCCACCAGGTCTTTTGTGCTTTTGTTATCACGGGAGGAGATGTATGTGAAGAATATTGAGAATTTCTCATGTCATAAATGTCTGTCTGTCTGTCTATCCATTGTTCCTCCAGGTACTGTGTTCCGTCCAAAGTCTGGTTTGATCATGACTTTAGCTCTACTTGATAATCAAGGGCACCTGTTCCCTTCACCTTTAAAATTCTGGTCAGAAAAGAAAAATGATAACAGCTCAAACAGTAAGTAACAGCAGATCTTTGACTCTTGATATCTTTTCCTTGAAACATGCTAACCAGCAACTACTTCAACTATACGGGGGCTTTCTTGGATGGCAAGGCATTATGGGGCATCCAGGGGGCAAATAAAGCTTTGTTACAATAATGACGTCGATTAATTTTAACAGCTCACCACAAGAGAATGCAACCAAACATGAAAGACAGAAAAAAAAAACAGACAAATAAAAACAACAACAGAAATCTCTACATATTTTCCATCACTTGATGTACACCTAAGTCCAAAATGGTGCCYGGCCGAGTGAGTTACATGAAAACAATGCTTCCCGGGCCAAATGCAAGGGAATAATATGGTGTCCATGTAAAGTATACACTTGTTCTGTCTTTCTTTCCTTCTTAAATTTAGGAACACAACAATTTTGCGGCATCAAGTCATAATATYGTAAATTAGGCCCCGGATGCCTCGTTTTCACCCAGCCATGCCCTGTTTGGGGGTGGGTGAGGGTAGTAGTTAGTGAGGGAAGGGCCAGAGTAATTATGTAATTTATTTACACTCAGCTTTTCTCTCTTTGTGGTGCCTACTCACTCTCAATGAATGATAGTAACAATCTGATTCTCTCTTTGTTATCAGAAACAGTATTACCGCAGGAATGTTCAGATCGGCATTTTCTTGTCACCATCACTGAAAGGGAAGCAAAGGTAAAGATATTTTAATTGTGAATCAACCATCGTGGATATTTTTGGCTTTTCCTCTTATTCAAGCCATTAAAGGTTTTTTCGTCTTCTCTTAGCTTTTCCATCTTAATCCCCGTAGGTAAAAGATTTCCAACAACTATATACTGTTTGCCTTATTTAAATAAGACATGATTAAGGTTACCTCATTTAAATTTGGGCACATTTCCATCTCTTCTAAAACTTGACTTCTACTCTCCTCACTAGTGTTATTTTCACTTGCCTACTTTTCCTTCCTTCCTTCCTTCCTTCCTTCCTTCCTTCNCTTCCTTCCTTCCTTCCTTCCTTCCTTCCTTCCTTCATTTGTTCTTTCTTTCTTTTTGATGTTAGGTATTCCAGTTACCACCAGCACACAGCAATCCCAATCCCTACTCCAAGACAGCTGTAGCAGATGATACATCAGTAGTGCTGATTGCTGAAGTGATTGTTATTGAAGGTTAGTAAGTCGTATCTTGCGATGTCCTACCAGCTTTAATGTACCGCGTTAGTGTACAACCTGTATTATGTGCTTTGCACTATTCTTGAAAATATCTATTTTGTTAATCATTTTTATATTATTATTGTCCTTGAAGGCAGTAGTTGTCTGATATGTCTGACCAGCACAGGTCAGCTTATGGCCTTCAGTCTACCAAGTCTTACCACACTCATGAGTGCTGAGTGTTCCTTTTTGCTCACAGATTTCAGGTAAGCATGCAGCACAAATCATTGGTTAACTGAACAATCACTTCTATCAATACTTCAAATGCGTCCTTAGCTTAGTTAAACTAATGCATTTGCATTATTTTGCACTCATACTTTACAGGTATCTCAGGACCTTGAAGTTCTCTGAAGGTGGTCAGGCCATTGTGATGTGTTCTCCTTATGAGATACAAAAGCTATCTGTGTTTACAAGAAACGGGTATGTATCAAGATAATAATGCTGTAGGTATATCTTAAAGTTCTCTGGGTTAATCCTTCTTCCAAAAGAAGATTCTTCATACTTTCCAGTTCAATTTAACAAGGGTAACAGGTTTGTTCGCCACAGAGCTATTGAGTGTTATCCTGGCTTGCAAGACAAGGGGACATTTGAATGTCATTTTAATTGAATGAGAATGCTGTGTGTACCATGTTATTGTTATGGGCCCTTCTACATATACTGCAAACCTATTGTAACTTTGTTAGCCTCATTTATATAAAGGTTTTGCACCATCACGTGACTAATCCCAAAATACAGTTTGAGCTGCCTGTGGTAGATGGCAGAACATTAAAATCCATTTGCTCATGGTAATTGAATTCTTTCTCATGTAAAACGATTGCATTGTTCCTGCCATCTAACATGGCTGCCGTCACGTGATGGTGATACCTCTATTTTTTAACTTGGGGTCTCTTACTGTTTCTAGTGAATGACGTAAACTGTGTACAATGGTAAATCATTAACATTTTTTTTTATTGACGCAAATTCTTAACTAATATGCTGTTCTGTTGTCAGATCTTCATCAGATAGTCTTGGTACATTGTTTCGTGCCCTGGAGACACCAGAAAAACCAAGCCAGGGGTTCTTTTCAAGCCTATTTAGTTCACAGGCCTCACCTCTTGATCGCGAACAACTCTGTAAGTATATCACATGTTAATATTCTTGAATAAAAAGAGAAGCAAAAACTTTATCAAGGAGAAATCTTTAAGGTCAYTCACTCCTGTGAAGCCAGTATGTAGTGAAAAAATAGGGAAAGGGGAATGGAATGATATTGATCCACTGTCATAGTGCTCGATAATTCATGCGAAGTTTGGTAGGTATGATGTCATTTTTTATGCTTAGTGCCAATCAAAAAACCTTTAAAAAATCAAAAAACCATTAACACTGTTAATTGATCGGCACTCAGTTCCTAGAATGGTGTACTTGGAGCATTTGTAAAGATATGACTATTTAACAATTAGACTACGAGATCGAGTTTTATATGAGTCAATAGATAGCCGATGAGGGGCGTAGCGCCGAATCGACTATTTGACTCATAGAAAACGAGAACGAATAGTCTAATTGTTTTAGCATAAACCTACTTACTAGCTAATATTATAGCATTGAAAACAAAGAATGACACTGAAAACTTTACTGAACAAAACGACAGTCAACCGGCAGCACTGTTTTCATTCATGTTTGCGAACTCGACTCTAAGTCTTTATATTTTTATATAAAAAAAATTAATATTTTTCTCCTTTTTATCCCACCTATATATCATTTCGCCTTTGGCGAATAATTGTTTAATGATTATTTCGATTCAGTTGGCAAAGAAAGTGGAGCAGCATCACGTAGTGTTGCCGAACGCATGCAGGGACCAGGTATTCAACAACTCCAGGAAGTATCAATTGGTCTTGCAGGTGCAATGCAGAAGAATAGAGAAGTAAGTATTTTGTCTCTAGAACCAAAGACAATCATTGATAGTGATGTGGAGAGAAAGAGGGAAAGGAGGTTGGATCGGAAATATACTACAATTCTATACACCGAATAACTGAATAACTACAGTTCTGCACTGACTAGAGACTGACTAGCCTCTCATACATGTGAAAATGCTTTTGTGTTTCCATGTGAACACGAGGCTAGTCAGTCGMTAGTCAATGGAAAATAATAGTTGCTCAAATTGGTGACCTAGTTTGATTTGGTATATGTGTAACACTTAAAGTGTGTGTGTTGGGGTGGGGGTGGGTATTGGGGATTTAGCTATTTGGGGATTTGAAAACATATTGTGTATGTCTGTTGTTTTTTTTGGGGGGGGGGGGGCTCTGTGATTCCTGTGACTCAATAGACAAACGACTATATTCATATGTTTTTATCTCAGGGAAGACCAAATGTTGTTAGCAACTTTTCACTGCTATTTGCTTTAATGTAAAATCATTTTTTGTATTTTTTTAAAGGCTTTAGCAGAACGAGGAGAAAAGCTGTCACAATTAGACAAGAAGACAGCAGAACTGTCGTTAAATGCTCAGAACTTCGCTGACGTTGCTAGCCAAATAACTCTGAAGTACAAAGAGAAAAAGTGGTACCAGGTCTAGCATGGAATAAGTTGATAATTCCCATTCAGGATTGTTTGAAGTGATGTGTGTCGGTGATTGGTCATGGTCAGATCACAGGATGCCTAGATCAATCAGTCAGCCTTATGGACACTACAAGTTGAGATAAAAATAGTCTTGCATAAAAGTATTACAATCATAAGATTATTTCAAGTTCCCCCTTAGAAGAAATTCAGCTTATTATTTGTAATTTTATTTACTTCTTTCGTTTGTTTTCCCCAGTCGAAGTCCAAAAAGATTAATACTTCCATCCTTTGAGGGATTTGTTATCAACCCCACTGTTTCGCCCTCCCCTTCYTTGGGATGTTTGGCATCCCTTCTGTAGCAATGCCCTGTACTGATTATATTTTGAGCAATGCTTGAACAAGACTATAAAGATAATTGTAAATGTCGTCATAAATGATGTCAAAGAATTTATGTTAAGGTTAGCAAAGCCTGCCAAAAATCCGCAGACCCGTGGCAACGCGGGCTCAGGTAAGCGTATTTCATAAACTAAGGGAGATAGTGAAGAAAGAACGTAAATTGATAAAAAAAGTCATGTCAAACAATACCAAGTTTTTTAATCCAAAATTTCATTCGATATTGTCTAAGGACGTGGTGAAAATATTGTTTATTCTTTGGTAAAGTAGAAATAAATTACCAGGTAATTGTCCCTGCGACCTTGAGACATTAAACTAAAAGATTCCAATGAAGGTGCAATATTTTTGGATTTTATGTCCTTGATAAATGATGTAGTTAGCAATAGTAACTTAGAAGATATATTGAAGTGTTTTTGCAGCTGTTGTTAATAATGAAGTAAATAACTCTGAAATGATGATGTTATTATGTTACCCTTTGATGAAATTCTCAAAAAAAAATCTTAAAAAGAATATAAATGAAATTGATAACAGATATTTAATTAAAAAATTAAATGTAACCCTTGTCGTTCCTCAATATACGATWTTTTTTTTCTTTTCTGACTGTTGAAAAAGCATAGATTTTTTTRGTCAAGTTGCACGTTTGGAGTGGGAGTTCAATGGCATCTAATAGATTTTAGATATAAATGCCGGTTTATGCAAACACTGTCGCAGGTAATTCACTCTTTGGAGCGCTAGACGTCACGTGGTATAAATGGTTTTGGATTTTGTTACTTCACCAAAAAGTTAATTCTACTGAGAGTAAAGAACATGATTGGCTCCACAAGATTTTACCAACCCTGGATGATCCGCCACTGAATAATTCGTTTAAAGTCAGTCCATTCGAACGGAAATCCGAAAACAGTGTCCGTAACACAATCCAACACGATTTATACCAAGTGACGTTCAAAAGTAGGCGGTCACATTAATTTCCAACCAAATGCTCAATGTTCAGCGGATGCGCACAAAAAATCCAAAAAGCGAGCGCGCTAAACTTCATTACCCTGACGTCATAATCAATATGTTACGTCGTCTCATTAGCGCATGTTATGGTATATCAAGAAAAACCTCAATTTTGAGCGTTGAACCAGAAAACATTGTTTTCTAAAAAGGCAAACAACGAAAAACCTATGTTTAGAGAGAAATATGATGGAAGTGCAACTACATCAAGAGCGGGAAATGCTAGATTCTTGAAGTCTGAAGAAACTTCGGTCAGCGGTTATGCAATTCGAATAGAACACGCCGTTACGTCATAATGGCCGTTTATCACATGGAAAAGTCATTTCAGTACAAGATTTTGTCGGGGATAGACGTGTTTATTATCGCTGAAGCTAATTCTCMAAAACAAAAAGGAAGACGAATTAAAACCGACTCCTGAAACTGTCTAAGCTGTAAAATGGAACCCTAGTTACAGCTAAAAAAGCTGACAAAGGAGACAAGGCAGGAAACAAAATGGCGGCGCTGGGCAGGACTGGACTTCGTATTAGATCATTGTAATTCCAGGTGAGGTTTGTTTATTTATGCATTATGTATTTATGTATTACTATAAAGGAAATCGAGGTCAGTTGGCTCTAGTATGGCATAAGCTAACTGGAGTTCACTGTTTTGTTAATATAAATCATAACCATCTTAAATAAATAAGTTTACCATATAACTTACAGTTATCCCAATGAAACCCAAAGCTAATTTCTACGCTTAAAAAATGTCCTTTAGTCAATTTACACAACTTCAACCACTGTCCTTGATTGCGTATTTTTCACTTAATAGTCTTCGAGGACTAAAGTGATGTTTCTTTAAATAACACATCTACAAAAAATGAAAAATAAAAGACACGTCGATAGTATCTGGTATATGAATGATCGGTGGATACAGTTTCTTACATATTTATTCCTTTTCTCATATCATTCTATACACGACAGATCCTACGCGACAACCTTTGGGACTTTTATATATACTGGAAAGAAAACATAGGCGTGAAAACATTTTCTCCGGTCCTTTTTCTACCAATCAAAATATGGTCGACTGCGATTTTCCCTATTAAGTTTTAATTAGTACATTGAAAATAAAAACGCCTTTTTTTCTATCATTTTGTTTACAATCGTGATTCGTCTTTTATATCACTCTTGAGGTGTGATATAAGAAATACCAATRAATACTGAAAGCCGAGCAAACATCAAAACTACAAAAGTAGGGAAAAGTTGAATAGAAAATTTCGGCCTTCATCTGCTGGAACTCCGACCCCACATGTTGAGTCAGTTGTAGAACTGTCCATATTCTAAATTCATCTCTTGACATATTTCCTTTTGAGAAATGTTAGCTATTGTATTATTTAGCACACAGTTCTTAGACTATAGAGGCAACAACAGTAGAGTCGTTATCCCCTGAGAAACTGAATTCTTTGGCATGTAAATCAGATTAGACCAGACTTTGCTCTTGCCTCCTGACATGGCTACCATCACGTGATGGTGCAAAGCCTCTATAACCCATCCATTGAAAATAAATGATCCAATTTTCAGATTTTTTTTGTCTTTTATGGTATATCCAAATTGGACTCGCTGTGGTTTTATCCTCTTGAAATTCGAGGTTGCCATGGTAAACAGCATAATTAGAGCTTACAAACTCGTGTACTCAATTAGAGCAAATATTCACCTATATAAACAGAAGTTCATGAACTTCTGCCTATGAAGTATGACAGCTGAAAATCATTTCAGTACGAGATTTTGTCGTCGGAGCTTAGACGTGTTTCTAATCGCTGAAGCTAATCTTAAAAAAAAGAGGGGAAAAAAAAAAAAGGTCTCGAAGCATAAATTAAGCGAAGAAAAAAAATCAAACATTATCATTATAGCAGCTTTATTTTTTCATCTCCCTAGAGTAGGGAAAGATCGAAATAAGGTGGCCGTATATTAGCCGGGTGTCCGAATTAAGCGGGCTAGCTTAAATAATATGTCCCACACGAGTGTTTTATTAATACAGTACAATATATATAAACTGTTAACCTGTATATCTGTAGCTGAACTGATTACAAAACTACAAAACAAATTACTAGTTGCCACTTACAACGTGGAAAAGTATGACCAGTGATGGCTGCAATAGCCTGTGCATAGAAGTACTAGTATGGAAATACATTAAATGTACTTTTGTGGGTCGTGCTGTAGCATTCAAAAAACAAAACATTCAATGTCGAAAACATTGGAAAAGATARCGTCATCTATATCTTCGTTAGTAAGGGTCATTGCTGGTTTGCTATAATTCTCAAGAGAATGAAATATGAAAAGACACGGCGGCCATGTTGGATGATATAACACAAGAGACTAATGACGAATCTTTTGTTCAATTCATCCAACATGGCGACTGTGAAAACCATCAATATATGGAAAATATGTCACTACAGTCCCGGATTGAAAACACTAACGTTTATATAATAAATCTCGTTAAGCCCCGTTTACACTAGCGATTTTTGCGGCGATTTTGTCCATAATAAATAATGGCAAAGAATTTGCTTGTAAATTTTTTTTCAGGATACCAAGATTTTCCTAGACGAATGTCTCTTTTGAAGGATGAGACTAAAGATTTCATATTTCCGAAAATTGCCACAAAAAATGCAGCAAAAATCGCCAGTGTAAACGGGGCTTTATTTTACACGGCATCTCATATGCGTATGCAAGACGTTTTAATGCCTTTTCTCGTTGAATATTCAGAATAGTCAGAAATTGCGAATGTACGCATCAACACAACTTGTACTTTTATAGATTTCATCATCAGTACCGTGTAGAACTCTGCCGAACCAGATCCGGATTTCATTCCCTTTTGGTGACGCAAACGGCTCTGAATATATCAATTCAGGGCTCGTAACCGTTATATTATCTGCTTTAAAGTAGCTACTTTGACAAGAAGAATTAGAATAAGAAGGGAGTATTACGTTGTTATTGGTATCGCTAATAATAATAAAGAGTGCGGCCTCTGGAATCCTTTTATCTCCAAAGTTTTCTGCTCTATTAGTGGCATTCTTCAAGGACACTTCGTTCGAGACATGGACGACTTTCAACTGCTTTTTCTCGCAATCATAAGGAATCTTCACTGTACCAAAGGCGTTATCTTTTCCACCAGCACAAACGGGAGCTTCATCATTCAGTTTTATCCATTCTTTGTCTAGAGGGACTGTGAAGCAGAAACGCAATATGTGAAAAATAAGAAGGATCTCTTTCCAGAAAAAGACCATTTTCGAATTAGTCATATACCGCTGTGTTCCTTGATCACAAACATATTTACACAGGGTTAGCCTCGTATCAGTGTTTAAATATTCACAAATATCAACGGTAAAGTGACTGAGAATGCACAACTTCAACTATAAAAAACATTTTGAAATTCCACGGACCTTCAATGGAATGAAAAGCATGAATATTCAAAGTAATTCCATACGAAATCGAGGTTAACCYTGTATAACAGAGATATTCACCAGCTCTACAAGATTAATGGCTGGTGGTTGGAAGCTAGACGTTCTACCGCTTGATTAATGCACGGGAAGAGATTTGAATAGTCTTACCTTCTTTGCAGTTTTTTCCACCAAATCCGCTGAAACAGACGCACTGTTCTTGAATTTTAGTGAACTCCCTCTTAGCATTTGCCACACATTGGCTTCTTACACAAGCATTCTATAATGAAACACCAACAATTTATCCTGTTAACTAGAACTTGGAATATATTTGGATAATAAGTTATTTGCAGAAAATAATCACATGACTGTTACTGAATGAAAAAAAAATCTTACTAATGTCATATCCAATGACCTTTTTCAAAATCCGTTTTTCCCCCTAATAAGATACTTTTGATTTTCCTCTCCATCCAGGAGAGCTTTCCCCAATAGACCTTTGGCTGAATAGATTACTCAGATTAATTACATGAAAGTGTTCAGTTGTACTGAACCAACCTTGATTCCTCTGTACGAGAATCCAGGTTTGTCCTGGTAATCCTGTGGATGTTGGTAACGATCAGCATCGTTCAGTTGACAGACCATCATTCCTGGTGTTGTTGAAGGACCAAGGTTGTAAGACACACACTTTTTGATCAGATGGCACTTGATACGACATGATGTGTCGGTGTTTGTGAGAAGCACCTTGATCACGTGATTAACCATCGCCTTTCCTTTGACTTCTTCGTCATCGAAAACTGTATCTTGGCTTTGTACAGCTGATGATCATTTAATATTATGTAATAATTAATAAAAACTAATATATATATATATATATATATATCTATGCAAAAAATATGGCCGCTTCCAATATATATACAAGTATATCAAAAGCATATCAAAAATTATGGGATATCATCCCTGATATGGACTTTCTGAAAAGAATATCAAAACAGATATCCCGCCGTTTCTGATATACCATTGATATACTTGTATGCATATTTGATACGGCCATAATTTTTGCAAATGGCCGTGTATATACTTATTTCAATAAAGTTAGTCATCAAAAACCTAGAAAGATGATCGCTGAGAATCATGGGGAAATGCTTTATATCCAACAAGTAAAGCTTTTGACACAAACTGCAGCAGTTGAGGATGCTCAGAGGAGGGGAGACTGTAACTGGTAGAAGATCGCAAGTCCATCAACAGTGATCAAGCGGTTAAAACATGTAAAATGTATCTACCCATAATCCTTGTCGGTCTCAGCATTGTAGCTTTTCTTGTGACTAACTTTATTGAAATAAGTGTATACCCTGAATCGCTAAACCTTTGACACTTTAACGACATATATATATGTGTGTGTGTGTATCCCCCTTTTTTCTATTGTCTTACCTGGATGTTCAAGAMAAGACAATAGGAAAAAGGGGATACATATATATGTATATATATATCGCTAAATTGTCAAAGTTTTAGGGATTCGGTGTATAGGACAGTATGTATGTAGAATTGAAGCGATACTGAAACGGAAAGCAACTCAGAACAATCGCCTCAGCTCCATTTATATATTCTGCTTATATTCATATCATATACATAGCATGTCATAAATATATAGGTGTTTACACAAATAAAAATATTTCGTGTTATGAAGTTACATCTGGTAACGATTTTTGTATATCCCTTAATCGAATACTTTTATGATACTGACTATYGTATAATGATTATTGTAGATATATCAGTTAATCGTCATAAGGCTGTAATGACTTATATTGTAAAGATTAGCTCTTTAGAAAAGAGACACGATATTCCAAGCCATGTAAAAATGGCTCATACCTGTATTCTGTTAGCGTCAAATTTCTCTTTTCGTAGTATATGCACCTATTTCGAAAATCGTTGTCGCACCAAGTGCCTCAACAAGCCAAGGCTCCAGAGAACGTCGGTACTTTTAATTATAATTGATTTATTCATGGTCCATGCAAGTGGCTATAGCTCTCCACTAATTATCATCTCAAGCAGCCTTGGTTGGAGCAATTCATGAAGTCAATAAATGAAAATGCACCATGAATAAACTAATTACAGCTAAAAGTATCGGCGTTCTCTAAGGTCTTGGCTTGTTGCTTGAGGCTTTTGGTGTGACAACGATTTCTGAAATAGGTGTATATTATAATGCACATTCGATAAAAAGCACTACAGCCTAAAGTCATTTTATTACCAAAAGAGAAAGCTTTAGAATGTGCTGTTTATAATTGTCATTCGTTCTGAGAACCTTGATATTAGCGATTATATTAGCAGTTGATCTTGAAAATGACGTAAAAAATTCTACAGAAATTATTAATA